CACGAGAGCCATGAACCGAAAAACCAAAATGATCAAGGTCAAATCAAGAGTGACTAAAGAGAACGTGTTCACACAGGGTCGAAAAGGGGTAATTGGGAGGGGGAACCGAAGAGAGGGATTTTCTTCATGGCTGGTTTCTACCGGGGATTACTGGCAGACAGAAGAGTTTGGGAAGGCTGTCACCATTGTTATTTTTGAGGGCTTTTTCCACTTAGTTCGGATGTACGGTGGCTTTTCTGAAAAAACTCCGCGGACAAGGTTGCATGCCCAGGGTCTCAGGTTGGGCGTGAGCGTCTGCTACCACTGATTCCGAGTTGAAGGTGATAAGGATGCCCACCTTCGTCTTCTTAGATTTGGATTTCAGCCACGACGCTCCGATTGGTTTGGGTAGGGATGAAGCTGTGGGGCCTTTCAAGAGGGTTTCGGTTGCATGAACCGGAGAATTGAACTGGGGGAAACTACCTCAAATTATAATCCGTTTAGCTCTAATGGCCGCTGATTCTAGTTTGGCTGCAGTGTAGAAGATCTGTTGTTTCGATAGTGTGATCGCCTGGTCTGCGGCAGCACATGCTGGGAAGTTATCCTTAAATAATGCAGTCAGGTGACTTAAATCGTTATCTAGTGCCGCGAATTTCCCACGCAATTCGTGTATAATCGAACCTTGCAGGTCAACGGTCACTAAAGCCGCTTCTAGCGCTATTTGAGTGTTAGCCCAGTGACTGGTTTCAGTCACCTCATGTGGCATGGGGATTTCCCGCATGGATAAAGTGTCCTCGTCGGAGTACTCAAAGAGCTCAGAATACATGGTTAAAGGGTAGTGGTACTGATGGTACTGGAATAGTGTTAGTTTAAGGTGGCCACAATTAAGGATATATGCAATGATGTACGGAAAACACTCATAAAACGTAAAAATGCGAACTTATCGATCCACGACATATTTTCAACCGCGCGCGGTGAAGTGCAGGTCAGGTCAGTTAGCTAGTTGTTCCTGCAATCGGGTTTTGTTTACTTACTAGTCAGCCTGGAAGTCGGTTCTAGGAAGCTTCGGTCGGCAGTGAGAGTAGACACATCTTCTCACTGCAGAAGCTTGTATTCGGGGAGCTGCAGACTATAGAGGCAGAAAACTTCGAGGATGGGTCTGCGGGAGATCAGAGGGTCAGCAGGGATAGGAAGGCGCGTGAAGTTTACCACAGCCTTCTGTAAGAGATTACTATCTTTTTGCCTTCACTCAGGGGAACGTGTTGGCAAACGTGTGTGGATGGGTTCGTCTGGTAACACGTTCCTCGCCAGATTGTCGTTGAACTGGATTTTCTGTATTTGTGCAATACAGCTTGTAAACACTGATGAGTGGTTAAACCCCACTACTAGTCCCAGAACCCGTTTCTTATGTTTTGACACTAGCCATGCGGAGCTACAAGGGTTGGGTATTTTCGGGGAGGTGGGGTTTCCTAGTAGGGCTTTTGCCTTCTGGGCAGGGTTCTGGTCCTTCGGAAAACGGCCCCATAGTAACACCCATCTAGCGCATGCGTCTTCAATTGTCAACATTTTGGCTGTCTAAGATATATTGTTTGGATATCTTAAACGCTTGCGAGGTAGCCTTTGTTCTTTGGAGCTCATTTCGGATGAACAACCTAAGCTCCGAAAGCTGTTGTTTAAGCAGTAGGACATGAGCCTTCATGTTTGCTATCGCTTCCGCTTTTGACTTTGCTGCGCGTCCTCGCACAAAGGGAGGAGGATTCGATTATAGTATCGTTTAGATATGTTCTAAAGGTGTCAGCATCTATGTCTAGGGGATTATGCCACATGGGAAGAGTAATCTCATCCGAGTCTTCAGAACTAAGTTGGCCGTGAAGCAGAGTAGATTTCATGAGATAAGGAGATAACATATGCAGGAGATCATAATGGAGTAGAATTATCGAAAAACACGAAGATTGGGAGTACACGTTCTAGATGCGGTCAATGCTAGAAACTTAGATTTCGAAGTTCTCGTTTAAGGAGTGATAAAAACAAATGTGTAAAGATTCAAAATAAAACGGATGATATATCTAATATTTTTCAAAAAGAGACCGTCAAAAATTTCAACTTGGCGCCAACTCACTGCAAGGACCGTTGTTTAGTCGCGTACCTTTTTTTGGCGGTAATCCTCGCACGCCTCACCATGGTAGGTTTTTCATTTTTTGCATCAAATGTCTTCAGGATCTTATGATGCCAGAGAAGTTTCAGCACATTCTTCGTGTAATGAACACAAATATTGACGGTCAAAGGAAAATAATGTATGCCATCACTGCTATCAAGGGTGTTGGTCGACGATACGCGAATGTTGTATGCAAGAAGGCAGGCATTGATCTGAATAAACGTGCCGGAGAGCTGAGTGACGACGAAGTTGAGAAACTAGTCACCGTGATGGGCAACCCTCGGCAGTATAAAATCCCAGTCTGGTTTCTCAACAGGCAGCGTGATGTCGAAGATGGCAAGAACTCTCAGCTCATGTCTGGTCAGTTGGAGACAAAACTCCGAGAAGATCTGGAACGCCTTAAACGCATTCGAGCACATCGTGGTCTCCGCCACTACTGGGGGTCAGTTAACAATTTTTACTGCTTTGCCTCTTTTTATTACCTTATTATCGGGGAGCATGTACATTGGCCAAAGTAGGCCCGCCTACAAACTGCGCAACTGACTAACATCTCAGTTGTTGAAAACCACTAGTTTATCAACACTCTTTTCTCGCTGTCCCTCAGTCAGACCATTGCAGTGCACAACTCATGCATACTTGTAGGCCAGCGAGAGGTGCCATAGAAACGTCTAGGTTTTAGACATCGAGTTAACTGGTCACTAGTACCCATTTTTCAACTCTAGTAATCGGTTGTTGTAACAGTGCCCTTATCACAGGTCTCAGTGGTATCCAGTTTGCCGTCAGCTCGTTTCGGCTGTTCAAAGGAGTATTCAATTCTTTCTACGCCAGGCTTATCTAAACAATCGCATTCTGCATATGATCATTTTTACGTAATCCATTTTGGTTTTTTAATATAGAGTACCGATTGCTGCTCGTCGAACAGTTACATCTCCATTAGGTATCGGAACGCAGCTGAGCTCTACTGGTTGTTCTCGCACATTTTCGCACAGCGAATTTCATCGATAACCGAGCGTCACGCGCATTCTACTCAAGTGACATTTAAAACTCCGTAAACAGTCCTGAGACCGTAGTTGTCGAAAACCTGTCACCAGTCAGGGACATGGAGTCGCTATGTGTAAACCGATTCGAGAACGTGATTTAGGCAACAAGCAATTGTTTAATCTCTAACAGCAAGCATGTTTCACTCGCGGTTCAACACCTGCTTGCTTGGCAAACTCAAACCAATAGGGAGGATGATTGGAGTTCGCAGTGAACAAGAGCCTACGTTCCACTTTTGTATTTAAGAATCTAGTTGGAATGACAGTCTGCGTTTGCCATGTCCTTAATTTGTCTTATTCCTTCATCAATGCTCCTCATCGTTCCGCATTGTCTAAAGCCACTGCGTTAATCAACATCGATCGACCCCTTGATTTATTAGTTTTCTGTTTCGTTTGGCAAACGGATTTGCGATAGGTTGAAAGATTAAAACTTCTAGGCCGGTACGCCTGGGAGTTTTCTCACAGGTGTACCTTCGGGTATTGTGACTGTGTTCAAGTAATGGACAAGTGTAGTGATTAGTTCATCACTGGCGACTTCCTGCTGCAGTTACGTGGTCCAGGACCCCTCGGTTTACCTGGGAATAGTGGTATCACTGTCGGCTTGTGATTTCATGCACGAAAATGATCTGAAATAAAACCCATATTGTGACCTCATTTCTGTACACCCGATTGTTTGTGTTCGTTTTTGATTCGCTATGTACACTTGAAATACCGATCTAGAATCCTAAGAACTTGTTACCTGTTAACTTGCGCTCATGACCTATTCCTTATTTTTCACAGCTTGCGCGTCCGCGGTCAGCACACCAAGACAACAGGTCGTCGCGGTCGTACCGTCGGTGTGTCCAGGAAGAAGTAATATGTACTTGATTGTATAATAAACGATAAGATTCGGCTTGGTTATTTTTCAGCAGGCTTTGATGGGATGGTATTCAGCTGTGATCCCTCCGTTCAGCTGGAGTGACGGAAAATGCGGTCACAGTAGTCCCTGGTGTGTTGATGTGCATCTGTCTATCAATTAAGTGTAGACAATGCATCTGAAACGCACAAATTTGCACAGTTGATGGTTGTAAAACCTGAACTGAACTGAGACAGAATCCGATGCTCGTTGGGTATGCCACCGCTGGGGACCTTGTTCGATGCTGGTCTCCGAATAGCTTGTTTGAAACCCAGATAACCGTGCGACTATTCTCGATTGCGTAATCAGGACCAAATCAAGAAGAGGGGAATGAACATAATCTCAATAAGTATGTTCAAGCATGAATTGCATCAGAACTGTTGTGTTCCCAGATTCAACTCAGATGGCCCAGATAGACCTACAGTTCTGTACTAAGCCATGTCAGCGGTAG